GAGCGAGGTAATTGCGTAAGGTGCCTTCAATCCAGTTTTGTGGAGAACCAAACAATTAAATGGAAAACAGAACTCTAGAGAAAAGGAAAATAATGAGACAAGGGTTCCGATTGAAAATGACTAGGATGTCGGCGTTCGTTTTTGTACTCAGCTCCTCTATTCTCCTACGAAAAATAAAATAACCCAGAAGTCTTGCAACACATTCCCTTCCTCACCTCAATGATAAAGTCATCCTTAATGTCAATATTCTCATCTGGAGGCAATCCAAGTGCATCGTTTAGATCCAGAAATTCGCCCCTCCTGCCTCTTACTCCTGCTGGCGGATTGCCACCACTTCCGCTGCCAACAGAAATTACGGTGTCGTCTAAAAGCGAGAGATAAGAAAAACTATAATGCAATCAGAAGAAGGAAACCTTCAAGCTTCCCCTTGTAAATACGCTCTACACATGCAACATTTAATCGATGTTTCTCCTCTTAAAGAGAAGTGGGCAGCCACTAAACAGAAGAAAAACCCACTCAAGTTCAGCCTCTTATCTTCTGCATCATCCATGCTTCCCGAGCTTCTCTTGGTTCGTTTTTCACTTCTGCAGAAATCAACATTTCAATACATGAAAGACATGAAATGAATGAGAAGGAAACAAGTACTTCAAGTACTCACTTGTATTTCTCCTTCAAACGATCAATGACACCCTGGTCCGTGGCAGCCCATTCGTCACGTCCTGCGCCAGCACCTGAGGACTGCTCATGGAGAAAATCAAACTTTTCTAGTGCCTCAGCGGTTTCAGAATCTAATCCACCGCGTGGCGCATTACGATCGTCGGACTCGGAGTCGCTGAAAGAGGGTTTTGAGAGCTTGGTTTGATTCATATTTCGAATTGAACGATCTAGATTATAGAATACCTTTCAAACATTACAGAGTTACTGCGGACAGCGAAAAGTTAGAAAGAAGGGAATAACTTGCAACACAACACACAGAACACGAACACTATTGGCCGAGTGTACATTACTTATGCATTCAGTTCTAATCACTGCTAAAACGGAACGTTGACCGAATGCTAAAGGTGTTTGGACGTTTATCGATTTTCTGCTTGTGAATTTAGAGAAATCTAGGCGTTATTCGAGCAGGAGTTCTTCAATAGCAACACCAATCCCCCTGAAGAGGAATCTTCTGACAAGGAAAAACTCCCAGGGTGCTCTCCAAGGATTGAGATTGGAAAGGTACTTCCAGCGTTCAGTGAGTTTATAGAGATACTGAAAATCTTTGTTACTCGAACACCTATTCTCAGCTAACGCGTTATGAATCTCCTTCCGCCCGGAATCTTCTCTTCGCTGCCGAGAGTTCGGAGGTATTTTCTCATCGCATCTATTGGTCAAACATGTGAAGGGAGAAGGAAGGGAGGAAAAGAAGGAAGGAGGCAGAAAGGAAGTAGCAGGGAGGCTCCGCGGTTGACAAATGCCCTGAGACGGCTGTCAAAGAAAGGACACCGGTGCCAAAGCGTCGAAATGTGCAAGAAAGATGTGGCGAGCCAGGATGTGGGCTTTTTTCTAGGGGAGGGAACTATGGGATGGAACGAGAGGGTACAGGGAAAAACAGGTCGGCAGTTACGAAAAAAAAACCACACAGCAATGACACATACCTATCTAAGTCCTTTTTCTGCCCCGCAGGACCTTTGCCTGGAGCTCTTTCGTTGGATGGCCAATCACCCTGGAACTAGATAGTAGAAAGCTTGAAGGAGTAAAGTCGCAAACTTGGTTTGTTTGGTTACAGAAAAAAATAAAAATTAAATGTGAACTATGAAGCGAACTGAGGACGAGGGGGCATTTCGCACTTTCGCTGCTTCACTAGTTCCGGCTCACAAGTCCACTCTGGTAAAACCTGTGAATTCTTGCTAGGCTGGAGCAAGCTCATCGAGCCGCAATAGTAAAACCTGTCAACTCTTTGAACTCTCTAGCTCTCTACATGGCTCGACACGTCGCTGAGAAGCAGCAAAAGCGCAAAATGCCCCTCGCCGCCGAACTGCCGCGAAGCCGAAGTTGACGCCAACCTGAGGAATCAACCCCAACAGATTTTTGACACGAAAAGCGCGGACATCAAGTATCTGTTCGCTGTAGCCAATCTCCTGAAAAGAATAAAAATGGTGAAATGAAAAATGTTTGAACATGCGCTTTTCATGCTGTAGAAGTAATCAACTCCCAATGCCGTTCTGCAGATATAACTAATTCACCTGGAGGTATTGCTTAAGAAGTTGACGTCCTTGTTTCCAACCCAAC